CTCCCAATGGATTAAAACATATAATCAATAGCCCGAGCAACCAAATAATAGCAACTAAGTGCCAAGTACAGTTACAGTTAAAAGCCTCAGCTGCCCATAAAAACAGTAATGGGAAAATATTAATTTCATGCATGCAGAGATCTCATATGCAAATGGACTAGTTTTCCATAGGAGCTGTGCAGAGAACAGCTCTCAATTTCCCTTTAAATAGATAGCCAAATTTTCAAAAAATTATTCAGCTCCTAGCAGCTCCAATTAGCTTGCAAGGGCACTGAGAAATTCTGGAAAGCTGAACCTGAATGCCAAGTCAGGTGGAATTAATTTCTGTAAATATTTCTAATGAACCTAGCATTGTTAGGTTTGGTACAATTCTCTTTACACTTGCGTTAGCAGTAGCTTTTTTTAAAGTCAATAATGCTACATCAGCATTAAAGTGGCACCAGCAAAAGAAGAAATAAATCAGACTGTACCTGCAGTACATTGTTAGACAATTAAAGCATCTACATGCACTTCTCAAGCCTTTAAAACAACCACTTTTTTGAGAAAAAAAAATCCCAACATTTCTTCCACACTTTCCTTTTCAGAGATGTGCACTAAATATACTTATTTTCATTGCAACAAATCCTAGGCAGAGTCACAGGGTGTTGCTGAAGGCCGTTTGTGGCAGAAACATGTCAGCTTCCCAGCTGATATAAATCAGCATAATTCCTGCAGTGATGCCAGTTCACACTAGTTAAGGATCTAAGACATTATTCTATCCTACAGTTAAAAGAAATAGTATGCAACCCTGAGACATGCTTGAGCACTGCATTTATATTTCAAGACATATGCTCTTTATTTGGCACATAAGCTTCCAAAGGAGCCCATGCTGAAAGCATGGCATGTTTGCTAATGACTACCTGCCTTAAGAGTTTCACACTAAGTTAAGCACATCTCCCAGGGCGATGCTTAGCATAAGTCCGGTGTTTGCAAGCAGGCATACTCTACTTTAAATAAGCCCTTAAGCCATTGTCTTTGCTTGATCCAGGCATGTTCCTGAAGGATGAACTCTTCTGGCAAGGTGATTTACACACCACACAGTTAAGCTACCTTCTATTCACAAAACATCCTGCCTAATAGCAGAGCTGTTTTAGCCACTATCTCTTAGTTAATTTATTTTTTTGCTCAGAGACAGGAGAATGGGACGGTAAAGCCAGGATTTGGAGGAGGAGAAAAGGCTGCAGTTGGAGTCAAGAAACCATATACACACCATTAAAAAGCCAAAATAAAGCCCTATAGTTTTGAAACCTGCAGATTAACTAGACCTCCCACCTGAGAAGACTGCATGCAGCCCTGACTCAAATGGATGCCTCCAAAATCACAAGGTAACGATTCTGCATGTGCATTGCTTTGTGTCCCATTAAATAATCCTGAAGGTCATTGTTCTTTTAGGTTTTAAATTGTAGTGGTGGCTTGGACAGTGACCACTACCCTGGAGGACAGAAGTGCACAGATTACCTTTGTTGTCTGTTCTCCAGCCTTCCAACTCACCATGCCACCTGATGTACGGTGTAGTAGGGAATGGCAGCTCCCGGTCACTAACTTACAGCATTTCAGCACATTGTGTCTTTAATATCTTCTTTCTCACCCTAGTTCTTTCCTTGCCCCCAACCACTTTGTCCAGTGCAATCTCTTACCATTGTCGTTCAAATCCTTTTGACCTGAGCTGCCAGCTTCTCTCAACAGGGACTAGTGCCTGCATTATCAGACCCAAGCCCTTTAAAGCTGAAACTGAGAAAAAGGTTTTCAGATATCTGAATAAAGGCTTGATCTGCAAAATGGTGAGAGCTCCCATTACACGTAGAGTGTCTAATTCTTCCTAAAGGTGTACCTTAAAGGTGAGAGCCCCAAATGGCCAGATTTGCAGTACCTATGCTTTCTTCGAAGTCTGAGAGAGCTGTGGGTACCAACTGTTTGAAAAATTAGGTAACTGTTACTGAGAGGACTAGAAGAACAAGTCTCAGACATTAGGAAACTTTGGGCCCTTTTTGCCACTAATATGACAACTCCTACAGACCTACAAAGTAACAGCTTCCTCTGGTGTGTGTGGGGGGGTTTGAAAACATCCCACCTTCTTTTTCTAGCTTTACTGTTAGGAATAAATACAACAGAACTTAATGGAATTGGGACCTGATTGTCAGTCAATAAAAAAAATCACTGGCTTATCAGGCCCTTTATTAGGAATGTTTGCAGTGGAGCAACAATAACTGTAGCTGTACGGTGAAAGCTAGGAGGCGCGCTGAATCCAGGAAACAAATTACATGGAACAATAAGGAGCAAAGACACACAAAATAAAGCACAAAAGCAACCTATGATATCAAGACTCCACTGCACATATTTCTTTCGCTAAGAGAGCTAGAGAGAAAACACGCACAACAGACAGTCATATCCTTATTGAAATGCATGTGTATACACACCACTGTCATCATTGTAGTAAGACCAGAATAAGAAAATGAAACAAGAGCAATAACCATTTGGGTTGGTCTAATAAAAGATATCAAATTCACCCAAGGAACCTTGTCTGCCGAAGAGCAATAACTGCACTCCCGTGTGAGCATCACCAAGAGAATTAGAACAGCCTAGGACAGAATCAGAGCACGATAGTTTACTAAATATATCTGATCAGGTTGTAAATGCAAATATATGGAAATGCATTAAGGCAACCCTTTGTCCCAAGCCCTTGTATATAGCTGCTCTTTAATCCCTCTTTCACTTTCTGATAAGTGAAAAAAAGAGAAGACATGCAAAGACAACATCCATTTTGATACAGTACTCAGCTGCAGACTGGTCTCGTCTGGGACAGTGTCAAACGCAGCACAAAGATTAAAGGACCCTTCAAGAGATTGTGCGTTCTCGAGACTTTTGCAGATTTGGCTTGTGAAGAGTCGTGGAGAAAAATGTTAGCGAGGCAATTTATTGAGGTAGAATTCTGACACTAAGGAAGAGAGTGATCAAAGGCCCTGTTGGCAAGACGGATGGGCCATGAGAGCTGGGCCTTTAAACAATTACATTAAATAAGATTATAAGAGAACTGAAATGTAAGAATACGTCAATTGTGAAAACACACTAGCATAAAAAGGTGTTTTTATTACCTCGGTCCTGACCTGGATAGAAGTGTCCTCATGATAGAAATAAAGCTGGTGGAATAACTTGTTGTAGATAAATGTCTTTATTCGTTTAGCCCTTTTTCAGTTTACGAGAGACTTCCCAATAGATCTGGGTTTCTACTAATGTGTTCATTACTCATGAGCATTTCCTGACTAGCTCCTGTGAACAACAGTTGATTATTTATAGCGGACAAGCTACCTCTTAAGTCACACAATATTACTTGTGCTCATGCCTGCATCAAGCAAGGTTAACTGGATAACTCTGTTCGTAATTCGATTTTTATAGTTCTGAATATAAATCACTTTCCAGCATAAATTTTCACACAAATCATTCATAAGAACATCAGTGAAACTGGGTGTATGCTGCTGTTGGATAATTTTTAGTTTTTCACAAGTCTGAACAGTGTGTTAACCCATGAAAATATCTGGAAAACCATTTCTGTGTTATTCAGGAACTCTAACATATTTATAAAGTAATTCCCATACCTAATTGAAGCTATCCAAAAATGAATGTCCCAAACACTAAACTCATGAAACTTAACCTTACTTTCCCCAGCAAGGTGGATTGGCAAATAGCCCTCCCCATTGAACTGTCTCAAGAAAACAAACAATCCACTTCAAGAAACTTTCAGAAGATAAAAATATATTGCTTGTATTGTCACAGCTCCCAAGACATCAGTAGGGCTATGAGAGTTGAAAATAGCTGAAGATCTTGGCCTTTGGATATTACCCCAAATTCCATAGGATGGGAAACCTTGGATTCAGAGGCAATTTTTTTTGCTGTTATCATTTTGCAACAACCATGCATATAACCATAAAAGACGTCATGTCCTTTTTCGATTCCATTTATTAAACACTAGGGATATGCAAAACAGCACCGTTTCATTTCAACTTCCGTTTCGATGGGACAATGTTTTGTTTCAAGTTTCACTTAGTTTTGAAAGCACTGTTCCGTTTCATTTCATCAAAACTGTTTTGCTGTTTCGACATTTCGCCCATAGGCTATAATGGGGAAGCACGAAACTGCCTATAACCTTGTCATTTTTTGGCAAATTTGGATGAAAACAGCAGGGATGGTAGCCCCTTCTGAGGGCATGCAGCCTGCCATGTTTCAAGGAGATAGGTGCAGGGCTTTCAGGGAAACTGCACCTCAAGCTGCCAACAAGCAAAAATTATGACGTGAGTGTGAGTGTGTGTAAGGCACGCTGGGGCCTCTACATGACGACATGGTAGTGTGCCTCAGTGGAGGTCTCCCCTACTGCCTCAGTCCGGTCCACCACTTTAAATGACAACAGGTAATAACTTAGTACACAGTAGCACCAGCAGCATCTCAGGCAGCCAAACAGTCACAGTCAATACCAGAGCAGCCCTTCCCCAACTTCCCCCTCCTTCTCCCCCTTCCTCTCCTTACTTTCTGTTTCCCTGCAGACAAGCCCAGCTTCAGCTTTAAAACGTTTTGATTGCCCTTGTTTCGTTTCAAGGTTATTTTGAAGCCCTTCATTTCGTTTGGATTTCCCTGTTTCAAGCTCAAAACGAGTTGAAACAGCCTCAAAATGAAACAGGCGGCGAAATTTTACACAGCCGTATTGAACAATTTTGTCACTTGCCCAAAGGTTACTAGAGGAGCAAAAATCACTAACTTTTCCATTCTGGTTACTTTTTCTTTTTTTAGAGTTCATCGGCATCACTAAGAAGACACGCAGGAATATTCACAGCACTAGACATAGTGTCTGTCCATCAGTGAGAGGTGTAAATCTCATAGAAAACTCGAAGGATAAGCATTTCACAAGCCTTGGTGAGGCACAGGAGAAACAAGGGCTGGGTATTAACCCTGTTTCAGTAGAAGTAACTTACCTTCTGCCATATTATTCCTTTTGGTTTTAAACGTTTGCAATTGGTTTTAATAGTTCTTGTTGGAGTGAGGATATAATCCACAGTTAAATCATGGTCTCCAAGCAACTCTTCTGGTATGTCAACCACCTAACACCAGAAAGAAGAGCAACATGGTAAGAAATTAGGATAAACCCACTAAAACTGCATCATCCCAGTTTATGAAATACCAAACTTTCTCCATTAAGGCAAGAGAATAAAACCAACTCCTGATCTATATTCTAGACAGTATCATTATGCAACTAAGTAAGTGCAGTACCAACTGCCTGACACACTCCTAGCACTGAAATTATTGAACTGTTACCAAGAGACCTTCAAAAATTAACATTTTAGTTTACCTGGCAGTCATGAACGATAGTAACTACTGGTGTGTCCTCTGTGACTGCTCCCATTGACACCATCATTGCATATTCCATGTCTGCATAACCTTCCCCTTTCCCTATTCTCCAGCCTAAAATGTACAAAGAGAGATAATTATACTAAAGAATAGCAGAGGAGAAGGCATGGTAATAACAAAGTAGCATTCAGGTTAAAAGGCAGCCTGCAAAAGGACCTACTGGAAGTGTGCATTTTTTGTGCTCAAACGTTGTGTTGGGAATTAGCAGTGAAACTAAGAAGAAAGCTGGTTTCATGGAGTAGCTGTAAAGTTCCAAAAGCTTCCAGTTAATGGAAGTTTGGATTAAAGAGTTTTGGAACAATGGGGAAAAAAAATAACATTTAAAAAAAAAGTCAAGTTCACGTGAATCAGAGACCTGCTGTCAGACAACGCTAATTGTGAGCACTCACCTGCACGGGCAGAATTGGAGAATAGGTGTTAGTTAACTCATATACAAAGAAGAAAGCCAGGGTCACATAAAAAGAGGAATGTATTTTTTTAAAGAGATAGTAATGCTGATGAAAGGTGCTGGGCTGTTAGTTGGCCCACCGAGGTCTTCTATTGATTTTCTCAAATAGGTACAGAATAAACAGCTGTTTAAGTCTTAACAGCTTCAAGTCTTTCACGCTGTCCCTGTCCTGCACATCTCTGCTTTGTTCAATGGGACTATTACTAATAGCTAGGGAGTAGATCGGCTCCCAAACCCATTCGGCTGAGAACAGAGACTCCTTGAAGAGCCCAGTCAAAGGGAACTGAACCAGCTAGTGTACTGTAACACCTTTCCCTGCAAAAGCTTTGCAATGTTAACACCAGCTTTCAGGAGGTGGATGAGACTACTAGTCTTCTCTTAGGAAGGACTGTACTTAAAATATGTAGCAAAATTAAAGCTTCATCCCTACCTTTTTCAGAGACAGCTACTGATCCTACAACAACCAGGTCCACTTTCACTTTTGCATCCAGGCCTACAGGCACACTGTAATCCTTTACCCCCTGAAAAACAAGCATGAAATCTTATGGTAGCAAGTCAGGCTTTGCTCCCGATTGAGTGACACAATAAAAATCAAACCTGTTTTTCTCAAAGCAAATAAAATGCCCAAGCTCTGAAATGCCCCTTCCATATACAAATATCAGATGTCTGGAAAATTACTAGCAAGTCAGAGTCAGAATTTTGGAAAATAATTTTCTGCTAAAATGAAGGCGATTCTGGCATAGTTCAGTGGGAGAGCTGAAGGTGCTGAAAGCCGGAGTTGGATTCCAAAAACTAACTTGAGGCCCTTAGGGTTGGAAATCTCAGCAAACAATACTTAATAATAAGTGGCCCCATTCACATGACGAATTCAAAGCACTTTACATTCTTAAATTAAGCCTCATAATGCCTCTGCAAAAGAGGGAAGCATTAACTTCAGCTGCAGAAGGTAAGGTATGGAGATGTTAAGGTCATACCAGAAACGTTTCTGAAGCAGTGTCAGGAGTAGGCTCTGGATCACCTGCCTCCCACTGCCAGACAGTCAGCACCAGACTAAAAATATTGCTTGTGTGGAAAGATAAATGTGGGCTCCAGGGGGACTTGAACTTTCTGCTTTCCTTCTTTGTAACTTTTTGGTGTTTGCACCACCTCTGACACAATGGTGTCAATCTGTCGGCCCTTCAGCCCGTCTCTGTCAGGGACAGATGAATGGAAAATCAGAACTTCTAAACGTAACAAATAGCTTTTGTTTTTTGAACTTCTCTCTACCACATATATTCTAGACAGACTTTGGCTAGGTTTCTAATTGTTTGCCTTACACAGGTACAGACAATAGTTGCCATGGCCATTCCAGAGAGCACATGCACATTTATACACAGCTGTTAGCTCTGATGAATGGACCACTGTACCCGGTAGAAGGTGTGACAGTATCTACCTGCATCTTCATCTAGTTGCTGGACAGTTGGCGAAGCTTTATTCCACTTAGCAGAGGTGGCATAGCTCTGCCATCAAAGAAGGAGGTAGACTAGACCAGGGCTGGAGCTACAGGCAATTAACACCTCTGAAAAAAAAATCACCCCAAGGCATCTCAGCATGGGTGTCCAGAGGTAGGAGTTTTACCATGTTTAATTCTCTCTTCAATAGACTTTATCTTACATTAAAACTCAAGATAAGAGCTACTTTAACTCATTCTTAAAATGGCTGTAGACTGTAGAGCATAGAATGGGCCCTCTTCACATTGACTCAAGTTATAAATCTTGATTTTTATCCTAAGCTGATGCTAATAATAGAAAAAAGCCCAGTGAGACCAGAACTTGGTGGCTGACTCTCCAAATATAATATGGAAAGAATAAAGTTTACTTTACATCAGTGTGACGAGGACTCTTTATACAATCCTTTCTAAATACAAGGTGTTCTAAAAGCCTTACTATTTTATTCTCTAGTTCAAGTCCATCTGAAAATACAGGCATCATCATGACAACATGATCATAAATTTGGTAGAAGGCCAGGCAGAAGGTCAGGAGAAAGTTCTCTTTTGAATAACACAGGTAAAAAATTTCAGCTCCTAATAGCTTAATAAATGTAACGGAGAAGTTCACTTCTGCATTTCACACGTTTTCCATCCCAAATTTATATACAGAATTATTCAAGGAAATCTGCATTTGGATTACTGTCTTAACATTTTTCTCCTTTTTTGTCCCCACTTTTAACCAGGATTGGCCAATCAACTAAAAACACTGCATTTATATATAGTATCTCTCAACAGACAGACAGACAGATATAGTACCTAGATTTTTAGATACTAGAAACAGATGAAAAAACAAAGGATTTTCCTGACCTACTGATGGAGCTAGAATATATGACATTTTACCACGAGAGGGCAGCAAAGCACTGTGTTACACTTCAGGAAAACGGGTACATTTAGAATGGACTTTTTTTTTTTTGCACATCACTTGAAGTGGATGTTACTTAATTTGTTTCCTAAGAGTCAAGATGGTAAAAAACCTGCCCTTTCCCATGCAATTAGAGGTATGTATGACTTAGATTAAGCAACAAGTTAAAAAAAAAATGAAATAAAAGTTTCCCTCTAGGCTTAAAAAAAAAAAAAAATCATAAAACTGGCTAGGCAAGAAAATGCAGAGACTGTATTTATTAGACTCCTTGGCTGCATCCAGACATTCAAGCACGTGCAGTTTGTGGCACCACAAGCCTCTTTGTGGCGCTGCAAACCACACATGGTGAATGTTACACGTTCCCCATGCTGTAAATATGCAGCACAGAGCCAAAGTTTGCTACTGGGATTTTTCGGTAGCCAAAAACAAAAAAAAACCCAGAAGTGGCATGGCACATGCCCAGCAAGCATGCGCGGGACACACATGGAGGCCTGGTTGTCCAGCCAGGCCTCCACGCTGCTGGATCTGTGTCCCTGCTGCTCCAGGCCACCAGGTAAAATTGCTCTCCCTAACTAAAGAGATGGGAGGAGCTGGGCAAGGGTAGTTTACCCGTTGTGGGACAATTTGTCCCGTAACAAAGGGGATGTGCAGGGTCATGTGCTGTGGCAATTTGCACTGCCGCTAGCATGTGCCCCTGCATATCTGGACACGGCCCTTAAGTTTTAGGAGCGTGCCATCTCAAAAAGCTGCTCACTGTAATGCATGTAATTAGAGTCCATGCTTTAGCCACAAGAACCCTTTGGAACCCGGCTCTCTTATTATTTGGCACTACGACAGCGTCTAGAGACTGGGGCCTTGTGCTGCTTTGTTATACCAGCCTCTGGCAAAAGACAGAACATCCCTGAAAAAATGTACAGGCAAAAGAAACAAAACAAATGAAGGAGAAGTATATCCATTTCTATACAGGAAGGCAGCATGTCAGAGCTGAGGGTTTAACCTAGCTCTTCCTACCCTCAGTCCTGTACTGCAAATGTAAGATCAACCTTCCTCTCCCTTGGTTCAGTCTCTCCCATGTTTGATACCTGTGAAGTAGCACATTTCCTCAGGATCTCTTTAGTTGCTCCCAGAGGTGGAACAATCTGATTGAACAGCCCTGTCCTCAGACGTGGTGTTGGGACCAACAAAGTTTTCCTTGCCTGTGAAAATAATAAACATTAGCTCAATTACAAGTCAGCTGAAGGGTTTTTTCTCTTTAAACATGCCAGAAAGTTGTCTTTACTTTCATGTGTTTGAGCACACAAAGACTGAACCTTCTCTGGGTAAAAAGACAGAAACATTTATTCTTGTGTGTACAAGACTTGAAAATCAATTCTTTCCAATAAGTATTAATATCTGGGAAGCTTGTCTCATTGTCTTTTACTTAAATGTAGCAGCTTAACAACTTAAATGTAAAAATCTTCCTCTATAGTGATACTGTGGGGGGGGGCCGGGGGAGAGGAGATCTGAGGAATCTAGTTTCTGTGACACGCTGATCCTATTAGGCATTTTAAAATATAACACACTGAAAAAATACATTGTGTTTAAAGTTATATTGCAGCTTCAGATCAGATTTTGTGGGCTTCTGGGGCAAAACGGGTGGACTGCAAGTTTATACCTTGACAGAACTCATAATACGGCAGCTTTTTGACAAGCATTTTGTTCCTGTGTTCTCTAATGTACAGGGGGTTAAAGTCCTGGGAAACGCCTCCGGAGTCACCAAGTCTTGTCCTGTCTAATGGCCAGCAACTGTATCAGTAATACCTTTCATGAACTGCTTGAGTTCAAATCATTACAAGCACAAAAAGCTAAAGTAAGAACTGTATCCTGATGACTTACAGCTAGCTACCTGACACGCAGAAGAGGGAATATATCTAGTGGTTGGAGCCGAAGGTCTGAACTCCTGAGTTCTGTTCTTGTTACCATGATCAACTTGCTGTGTTCTTCATTTGTAAAAATACCAAAAAATAAACCCACTTCTCTTCCTCACTTGGACACTGGGAGGCAAGCATTTTTAAGGTTCTTATACAAAGGTGCCAGAAAAATACAAATGTCGGATGACGTGGTCAGTTCAAGCACTGTTGTCCTACAGTGCTCCAGCAGAGAGGATTCGGTTACCTGCAGTGCTGCTAGTCGAACTCCTTCTAACGGTTTGTCGGGGTCTACTTTAATCTCACGTGTTCTGTCGAATATTTCAAGCTCTTTGATAGCCTGACAAGCCTGGTGAGACCCCTGCACGAAGAGAACAACAGAAACAAAATAATCCCTTCCACTTACTTCCAGCGTTAGAAATCGAGCATTCTTCTGGGGGGCATCGGGGTTTATTTTAACAGTCCTGGCCATTTTGAATTCTGGTAAATCTGGGAGCCTGGCTGCAGCGTGAGACGCGCCCTGTTTTCACGAGACAACAGCACAACTTTTCAGAACGGATACAGGGATCTCACGCTGTCCGGCACGCGATGAAACCGAAGCCCCTGCTTTGTTTCCCGCAACTAAAGGCATGATCGAGCTTTCGGCATTTGGTGTCAAGATGACCGCTGTGCAGCTCTGGTAGAGGCAAAGAGCTATAGCGCCGATTGCTCATCCACAAAGCACATGAAAGGTCAAGTGGATCGCAAAGCGACGGACCCGAGTGCGTGAATATACTGCAATATTTGGTAAGTGCACTAAATGCCACTGCTGACATGAAATCCTTCCCCAACCCCACACCTGCCTAGTGATGAGGGCTGCAGTTTTTTTGAGGCAGCTACCACCATCCATCATTGCTCCCCCTGCATATCACATACACAGCCCGACTACAGCCGCGGGGGCACGGTGGCACCCCCGGAGATGCGAGTCCAGGGCCAGGCTGGAGGTGAGCCGTGCCTCAGTCTCCCCCTCTGCGAAATGGGCATAACGACACGGACTTCTTGCCGCGCGTTCCCCGACGAAGCGACGCAGAAGAGCCCGCCGCCCGCGACACAGGCGAGAGGGATCAGGGTGGCTCTCGCGCGTCTCCGGCCGCCCCTTGCTGCGCCCGCATCCGGCGTCGGCCTGGCAGCTGTCACCCCCGTGGCAAGCGCCGGAGCAGCGCGGTACCTTGAAGTTGGGGATGCGGTGATGCACGGGCCGTGGGAACTCGGCCAGGCCGCTCGCCTCCAGGTGAGCCCAGATCTTCTCCCGGATGCTCTGCTTGGAGGCGGGGCCTGCGCAAGGGGCGGGAGGAGCAGTGAGGACCCGCACCCTGCCATGCCCTGTTGCTAGGCAATCACCCCAACATCCGCTGCTAAGCAACCCGCCCCATTGCTGGGCAAGCAACCCCTCAGCACACCCAGTTGCTAGGCACCCAGCCCCCACAACACCCCGCTGCTAAGGCAACCAGCCCCCCCATCTGTTCCTGAACAGCCTGCCCCGTTGCTGGGCAACCAACCCCTCAGAACGCCCCGTTGCTATGCACCCAGCCCCTCCACAATACCCCGTTGCTAAGGCAACCAGCCCTCTCACCTATTCCTAAGCAACCCGTCCCCTCAGAACGCTGCGTTGCTAAGCACCCAGCCCCCCGTTCAACGCCACCAGCCCCGTTGCTAGGCACCCATCCGCGGCCCTCCCACCTGCCTGCCCGGCGCCCGAGCACCCCGCGACCTCCATGCGGAGCCCAATAAACACCCCGCCCCCACCGGCTACGGCGGCCTGGGAAGGACAGAAGGCCTCGCGAAGCGCGCGCGCGTGCGCAGAGGGCGCCTGATATATCATCGCATCCCGCCCAGGCCTGACCCCGCCCTCCCCCAGGGCTGCAGGAGGCTCGAGCTGCTGCTCTGCTGTGTGCTCCCTGTCCTATCTGCGGCTCTGCTTTCCACTCCCTGCTAAAAATGGTGAAAATAATGATGATTATTATCATTATCGTTGGCAAAGGGGTGGGGGGGATACTAAAAATTTTGCTTGGGGCCTGTGGGAGTTTACGTACGTGCTACCCGGGGTCATCCAAGGAGGGATCTGCGGCAGAGCCGACACCCCCTGCTCAGTTCTTGGAGCAAAAGGTCATTTTTCTGCTACACTCGTGTGACGTAACACGAGGCTGCTCATCTTGGAAACCCCCGGCGTGTAAGGAGGGGTAGCGAGCGTGCAAAGTGCAAACGGGACCGGCCCAGGATCTTTATAAAGGCAGAAAATAGTCACGCTCCAGGTCCAGGTCCCTTATCCTTTATTAAGTAAAAGCTCAGCTGCTCTCAATGCACAGCTCCTCCTGATTTTTTGTTTCCACACCAGTGCGTATGCAGCTTTATGCTATGGAAAACGGCGTGTAACTCGAATTCACGTAAAGGGACCCACTTTACAATGTAATAACTAGGGGTACCTTCCAAGACCTCGGCCGTACTGACCCCCAGACCCGTTTCTGCCACTTTTAAGGACAATTTTGGGACTCGCCAACAGCGGACCGTACACGCAAGCACAGGGTGGTGGCAAATGTTACCCTAATGGTGGTGGCAATGACTAAAACACGTGTTACGGACAAGGAGTGAGCAGCACAGATCCACACGGAAGACTATATTTTGGTGCACGTCGCTCCCACAATGCACCGCACCCATCCCATAAGAGTGAATTGACCTCGCAGATAAATTTTTGGTTTAAAAAAGGGTCGCATCAGAGCGAATTCGTATTACAGAACCTGCATAAAGCAAGAGAAACATGTATTGGGTTTGTCTGATGAATGCACCAACTTCTGGGCCTGATCCTGAAATCTTTCATTTCGGTTCAGTGTTGTTGAAGTCAATGATTTAAAACCCCTTCCCGCTCCTAAGCGTCACCAGAGTCTAGCGGCTGGCTGTGCAATGCTCAAAACTAGCACGATGATGGAGATCACAGACTTTTTTCCAAGTGTCGAGGCTGTAGAGTGTCGTTACTAAATTCTGCCATATTCCAAATAAGGACTCTTAGTGGAATGTTTCATTTAAATTAAGTATCCTCTGGAGACTTTCTGGATGTGATATTCTTGGCTCCATTTTCTTTTTTTGAAATGTCTTCTTTGGTGGGCAAGTGCTATGTTATAATTTGCCAATCCGCAGCTGGGGATTAGATCAGATTTAAAAGGCGTAATACAAATGGTTGCATAGCCCAAATTCATGAACAACGGTGATACACTTCCTCAGATTACATGTACAAAGGGACATTCTGTACCATTGATTTCAAAGCAGGTATCATTGCGGGGGGGGGTGTTGTCTGCTTAAAACTGAGCGCCCAGTATAGCCTGAAAAGGTTATAGAAATAACACCGCCTTTTGCTTGTGTGCTGTATCTGGAAAAAAAAACAGATTTAAAAAATGAATCCCAGAGCAATTATTCTCCCCCTTAAAACCAGCATGTTACAAATAGAGTAATTTATAAAGCTGACACTGAGTTTCATACTCAGAAGAGCAATATCCTCACTTAGAGTTAATAGACTATTTAATGTTTTTTAAACAGCATATATTTATTATGTATGGAATTAAAGTATTAAAAAAAAAAATTACCCTGTGAAGCCAGTTTCAAGAATGTGACTGTTGTCTAATGGAGTGGAAGAGAAAGGTCATGGGAACAACGAAACCTAGGTTTACGTTAAAGGGAGTTGGGGCAGTGACTGTCCTATGCATTTGGTTTCTAATCTGCTTGGTTTGGATACTCCTGATATACATCGCAGTCAGAGCTGACTGTTGCTGTGCCAACCAGAGAGCAGAACAAATGAGGATGCTCCCTTCCTGAAGAGTTACAGATGTATTGCTGGGCAGCGAGACGTGGATGTTCTCCTTGCTGCTGCGGTTGATTTTGCATAGCCTTTCCCCATGATAAATCTGTACAAATACAAGTAGAAGAAATGAGTTCACTTGGAACCTTTCCCCTGTGTACTTCACCTGGTGATTTTTGGACATAGATTAAGTGAACGCATTCGGTGAAACACTTTCAAACAGTCACAACCGCTGTCAACCTGGGCTTTTCACTGAAGTTCCTGATAAGGTTTCCATTCACTTCACTAAGAGCAACTACAGCCCAGGTCCTACAACGGGATACACTTAGGAAGCCCCTTACACTAAAGCTGAGTGTGGCTGAGGTTAGAGGGACTCAATCCAGACATTAGCAGACCACCCATGTGGCCTGGGGCCTTGAAGTTGGGAACCTTCTCTTCCTACTCAGGCCAGATTCCCCATGATTTTTTGTCCCTTGTAAAGAGTTTAGGACAAGGCCCCTTGAAGAGCAGCTTTACAACCACTCTTTCATTTAGATAAAAAAATCTGTAGCCACATAATCTCTGGAAAGATACCTCGTGATAGGCATACATTCCTCATGTGGGCGCCTACAGCTTGGATCATGTCTCACCTTCCCTTTGGAGACCACACATATTAAGAGAATGAGGATGGTGCATTGGTTAGAGCAGTAACATAGGACTTAGGCTCCACTGAATGCTTCTCAGGCAAGTCCCTGAGCTTCCTGGAGCCTCGAGCGGCCAGTTGTGCAATGAGGAAACTAGCACTTTTCTACTTTGCAGGGCCGGTGTGAGGTCAAAGCCTTCAAATTTAAGAGGCTCAGTTACTGCAGTGAGGGGTAAATCACAACTCAAGAAACCAATGGATAGAGTTGCTTAGGAGAGCTGATGTTCTAGCCCTTGGACTTCTTACTACTTTGGGGCAAGTTCTTAAACTAGGACCTTCCCTAATATGTGAGATCTTTTCGCTCTTTAGCTATTATCTGATTCCAGAAGTTAGAAATCCCATTTGCTCAAAAAGACTACTCCATGATCTGGTATTTCTACAGAAATCAATGGAAAGTTTTTCTTTGCTTTCAAAAGCAGTTGCACCAGCTTTGTTTTAAAAACAAGGATAATAAGTGGGATGATTCGATTTTATACTCTTATATGGCAGGCTTTACCAGAGTGTTTGAGTTTACTAAAACATATCAGAACATTTAAAGCAAAGAATATTTAAACATCTTTTTAATTAATAAAAATTAAAAAAACAAACCCATTTTCTAAATGTTCTAAACATTTTTAAGAGTAAAACAATTATAAAGAGTAATAATTATCCAGGTTTCAGCATTGAATGTAGAAGGAGAAAAGTGCAAATCTGCTTAGCAGTGTTAATAATCTGAGGAGGAGGAGGAAGGAAAAGAGGCAGACTGAATAAGATCTTGAAGTCCAAGTCCTGTACTCCTGTACAGGAACTCCTGTACTCCAGTGCTCTTGTCTGCCCCCAAAAATGGTCCTACTAAGTCTAAGAACAGCAAAAGAAATCTATCTATCTATCTATCTATCTCACCTGTGGCACAGGGGATTGAAGAACTGCTGCTACCCTGAGAACTGGACAGGATAACAACAAAAGCAGGTCGAGAATGTGGTTCAGAGACAAACGAAGATGCAAAAGAAGCATCTTTCTGCAACCACCTTGGCTTGGGGTTGCTGCCAAACGACACTTATTTGCTAATAAACTGAGGACAGTTGCATAGTGTTGCTTGGAAAACAACGAAAGGATGGCTGTCCCTCAGGGCAGGCTGGGTTGAACGTGACCAATTGGCCTCGAGTTAGATGCAGTGTTCACGGTCCCGGGTTGGTGGCACCAGTACTGATGTCGCTGCTGCAGAGTCCCCAAGCTAAGTATTATCCAGGTGCATGTGAGTCAGTGCCGGGATCTGTCCCAGGGATAAAGGTTGTAGCCGTGTCGGTCTACAGGTAAAAGCAGTCAGTGTGGTAGAGGCGATATTTTTTATTAAACCAACTAGACACATGCAAAAAGATGTTCTTTATTTGCCAGCTTGCAGGCTCACGCGCCCTTCCTCAGGCAAAGGAGACTGCAAAGATCTGTCCCAGGGAATAAAAAAAAGAGACGTGGTTTCTATTGCCTATTGCAAAGCAGACTTCTTTAGAGAAACTCTTCCCTCCCATTCACTCACTAACAAATACCCCCAGGGGGAGGGGAAGGGGTCCAAAAGAAACCTCCTAATACAGCACCAAAACTTCGGGATGAACACTCAGAAGAGACTATTGGATCCCCTGACTGCTCTTCCAGAGAAGAGCCGGGAGGTGTCAGCACCCATATTCAAGGATTCCCCTGGAAAAAAAAAATCCCAACCTTTCAATTCTCCTGGTTATCCTCCGGAGGGCACCAAACCCCACGAAGTGAGCGAAGGGATCAGGTGCTGGTGGAGCAGCGCTGCACTCGGCTGCGGGAGCAACCGGCTTTGTTGCATTTTAGTAGCAAAACAATGCCATAAATCTGCTGCAGAGCACGCATCATAGCGAGCTTTGTAGCGGGGCTGGCCACTTGCACGTCTTTTGTTGTTTCTACCTTTAAAAAAAAAAAAAAAATCATCCTCTAGGATTGCAAGGCAATTTGAACAGCGAGGATAATAATAACAATAATAGTAACAATAACAGCAATAACAATAACAACGATAACAATAACAAGGATGACAATAATGACAATGACACTAATAGTAACGATTATCATTATAATTATAACAACAACAACAACCTTTATTGTAGCGGAAAGTTTCCAGCTTTTTTTTTAAAGACTGTCCACAAAGGATAAATACAATACCCCTGGATTTGCAAGAAGCTGCTGATCAAGTAAGTTGTCTAAATATTGCTCCCGAGAGTCCTACAGAGGAAGAGAGAAAGAAGCAGCCCCTTCCAAGGAAAAGGGAATATTTTTCCTTCAGTTGAAAGGACTTCTCTCTTTCTCTCTCGTTTGGGGCTCGAGGTATTTTTATCTGCAGTCGAAAGTCGTGCTCTTTCAGCTTGCCTTGATTTTCGACGCTACAGGTTTTCCAAATGCAAGATGCCCAAGCATAATGCTCCGGCTCGCTGTTCTTTAGGCAGCCATCCTGGACAAAGCTTGGCCAGTGGTGAACTCCTGGGAGGTAAGATTTCTTGAGAGGCAACTTCTAGCAAACGATCTCTCTAGGCGTCTAAAATAAAATCGGTGGGGTCAGCCTTTTGCATTTGCAAATCTCGGTGTGTGTTTCAAACTGTCCAGGATTTCAACGCAAAAAAACCACCTCTGCGTGTTTCATCGTCTGCTTTGGGGCAATGAGGTCTTCTCCACAGCGCTGTGGCACTGAACACTAACGCTGAGACATGCGAGGTCGATCTAAAAACCACGCTGAACCCATCGCGTTTCTCTGTCGCTGTATTTAAGGGCAACTCTGTTATAATCATGTGCTTTTTGCAGAACAAAAAATAAATCACCCGGCCATTGGCTTCCTATAATGACCCCCACTCATGCACGGATGTTTTAATTTTTTTCCCTCATCAAAATGAAGTGCCAGAGCCCAGCTTGTATTTCCCAATCAAGGTCCCATCATTGCCATTTGTATTTTTATTTTTATTTTTTTACCAACGCTGCATTTTATTTTAAAGTAATACGGAACGAGTTCCCCTTTCCCAGACTTTGCCCCCTCGCTTTCCCGATGCTCCCTAGCTCTCAGGGGCACCGAGATAACAGCCCACAAATCAGGGGAGATGCCACAAGGTGCTTTCTCCGTATCAAACCGGGTTTGATAGCACCAAGCAGATCAAGCATTTGCTAGCAAATCGCAGGGAGGAAAGAGATCGCCTTTGCTTTTTATGAAGCCTTTGGTCTGCCCCAACCGGCCCCGATTTCCCCACGAAGAAAAGCCCCGAACTGCGCTGCTTTTGCAAAATCAGATCCTGGAAATGACAGCAGCAAAAAGAAAAAGGAGACTGGAGCCGATTGCTTCCGCAGCGAGTGTATCAGTTATTTTGCATTTCAAATCACCCTTTGAAAATCCACATCCAAAGAAAGGGTTGGTTTTTTTTTCTTTAATCGGAGAATAAATCTAACTCCTTTCGTATTTGCTGGGCAGACAAACGCCTTTTCCAGCCGCCGCCGGCCCGCTCCCATTAGCTTTTACAAATACCTGCACTCGCACCCCTCCAGCTCGCGTCCTTAATTAACCGAAGCTGATTGCCTCTAATGAAATCATTAGGGAGAGAGACCCGGGGGGCAGGGGGTCACACGGCTAGAAATCCCGTCTCCACCTTTGCTTCTGGCTGTTTTAATTGTTGTGTATAAAATCAAAGCGACACTTATTCTTTTTTTTAATTGCCCCGATCCTCGAAGAAAATGCTGGAGAAATCAGATGTCCGGCTCCTGGAGTGGGGAGAGACACCCAGGACGTGTACCGGGGAGGGTGCTCGTCACCCTCCACCCACCCTCTGCTTCTCAGGGCTCCCCCTTTGCCACCTGGTACCCATTAGGGGAGTCAAAACGAACCCAGGGGAGACGCGGGGCAAAGAAGTGCGGTGCGGTGCAAAAGCAAAGCGGATTTAAACTAGGCACAGCCCTGCCCCGGGCTTGGTCTTTGCCGGCTGAGATGGTGAGGGAGAATGGAGGCAGGAGGCCGGGGTGGACACCGCATCTGCTCTGGAGCCCGGGTCCGTTGGACCAGGGGCACGTTTGCAATGGAGGAAACGGGACAACATGGGCAAGCAAGCCCAGCTCAGCTGCGATCCGGCCGGCAGTCAGCTGCTTTGCATCCAACACCTTTAAAAAAGAAAAAACCCAACAAAACCCTTTTCGGATTAAGGAAAAAAAAAATTAAGAAAAAAAATACAACCCCGATGGCTCCCTGCGTGTTATCTCGCTCCAAGCAGCGATCTTATTCCGCATTCTCTCCCTGCCCCGCGATTGGCTGACGCAGCCTCGGAGCGCTCGCCCATTGGTCCCGAGTCCTGGCGGGAGGCGTGGCCAGGGGAGAGTAAAAACTCGCCTTCAGCAAGAAAAGTTTTGAAACTTTCCCAAACCCTTTTAAGGGGAGTTTGGCGTTGCGGGGCTCTGCCGCACACACACTTACACCCACCATCCGGACTCAGCCGCGACCCGAGAGTTTATTTTGATGCTGAGTTTGCAAGAGGCTCGCAAGATCTCTCCTTGTTGATAGAAGAAACCTTCCTTGCTTCTTCTTTATCCTTTT